GTTCCTGCAGTGGTTTCCACTTTTGATCCTCTTTTCCGGGAAGCCATGACTCCCCGCATTCATTCGTATGTCTCTCCAATCTTGGGGGCTGCTGTTTGCCCTGTGTCCCCACCTCTCATGCAGATGCTAGAAGAGTTGTAGCTCTCTCTAAGGCCACCGGTGCCTGAGGTCAGGGTCAGCAGTGTTGGCAAATGCTGACCACTCCTTGCTTGAAAGTTTCTCCTCTGTGAGCTTCCATAACTTGGATCTTCTAATTAAAGGATTTATCCTATCTCTCTATCACTTGGACATTTGTTTTCAAAGTTTCAACTCTTTTTGCCCCAAAATCAGGTTTCCTCAACCTCGGCACTATTGACATTTTGGACTAGATAATTCTTTGCCGTGGGGGAGATGTCTTATGCATTACGGGATATTTAGTGCATCCCCAGTGCTACCGTTAGATGCCAGAACCGACTCCACTTCCCTGCAGTTGCGACAACAGGAAATGTCTCCAGACATTATCAAATGCCCTCTGGGGGGTGAAATTTCCCGCAGTTGAGAACCACTGTCCTAAGTTTAAGGTTTCCCTAAGATTAAGAAATAAAGCCCATCCTGGGCATTTAGTTGTCCTCTTTGTTCAACTTACCCCTGTATTTTCATCTCCTCTATCTCCTGAGCTTTTGGCTTTTTCAACTCCCTGTAAGACCATTTAAACATAACGTCTCCTCATCTCAAATTCAGTCCAAACAAAACCAAAGTCATCCTCTGCAGCCCTAACCCCCAATTTCTCCAGCTCTGGTCACCCTCCCATTTGCACAGGTTTTGAAATATGTCATTTTTAAAACCTCTCTTTTTGGAAGACCCACATTCAGGCAGCCCCCCCCTAAACTATTCAAGTTTCCCTTTGGAGCCATTTCTTTTTTTCTCTTTCCTTCCTTAAACCCACCTAACTTCAAATGTGCATTGTTATTACAACGTTCTAACTCTTCACTCTGGCTCCAGGCATCTGCTTGATCCTGCACAGGAGTGTTGAATACATTTTTTTTTTTTTTTTTTGCGGTACGCGGGCCTCTCACTAATGTGGCCTCTCCCGTTGCGGAGCACAGGCTCTGGATGCGCAGGCTCAGCGGCCATGGCTCACGGGCCCAGTCGCTCCGCGGCATGCGGGATCTTCCCGGACCGGGGCACGAACCCGTGTCCCCTGCATCGGCAGGCGGACCCTCAACCACTGCGCCACCAGGGAAGCCCTGTTGAATACATTTTTAAATGATGGCTGGATTTATGTTCCTTGTCAGCTCAATAGCAAAGTTAGCAAATAAAATTAAAACTCACTTGTCCGAATTTCAAGGCTCTTCATAGTCAGGCCCCCCCGAATGTTTCCTTTGCTCCCTCCTTCTCTAGTTATTCCACCCTTCTTTCCAGACCTCTAGGCTCACTCCCGCACCCATGTATTTTTCTGTCGTAAAATATACATAACATAAAAATGTATCACTGTAACCGTTTTGAGTGTAGAATTCAGTGCCTAATGGTACTTAATAGCACATTTACACTGTACTCCATCATCACCACTGTCTATTTCCAGAACATTTTCAAGGTTCATCTATGTTGTAGCATGTGTTAGAATTTCCTTCTTTTACAGGCTGAATAATATTCCATTTTATGGATATCTGCCTTTACATACGGCCTGAGCTGTTCCTTGTCCAGAGATGTCTTTCTCTTCCTCTTCATTTGTCTATCCTTTAAGACCCTGTGCAAGTACCACCTCCTCTGTGAAATCTGCTATAAGCGCATTCTTAACTGGAACATTTTACACCGAAACTTTGTAACACACAACTGATTATAGATTTCCTCATTCTTGTACCATATAATTTGGGACTTTATGACTCGCCATCTCTTTTCGGTATTTTATTGTAAATGTTTATGTCTGGTAGAGTACCAGAGAGACAGCTGCTTCTGAACCATTTGTTGATTGATTAACCGCCTGTTGTCAGGAAATAAGTTTCTCTTCAGAAAAGTAAATATTCCAGAAGCTAGTTTGGCAAAAGCAAACATATATTTCTCTTCATTTTATCAACAGACCTTTAGCTAAGATCATCTTGATGTTCTTTATTAGCCATTTAAAATAAAAGAAGATAGTCTCTCGTGAAGTGAGTAATTCATTTGCTTTTTCTGTAGCATTTCTGGGTTCCTTTCTCATGTCTGAGTCTCTTAGAGGCACTCATTCAGACTCTATTCCTCCCGCTTTGTTTCTCTCCTCATTTCCTCCCCGTTCTTCATACCCCACACAGACACACACACACACACAGACACACACACTCCCAACCCTACACGCCCGCTCTCACTCAGTGCTTTGCTTTATGCTGCCCTGAAGGAATCCTTGTAAGCATGGCTCAGAGGTTGCTGCTGCTATAGGATGGTGGGTTAACATCATTGGTTTTGGTTAATAAATTAAAATAAGTACCTTTCAAAAGATCAGTTAATTGGAAGAGACTAGATTCAACTCTTAAGTAAGCAAGTTTGGCATTGTTTTGGGATTTCTTATTATCTATATAATTTGTTCCCATGCAATCTTTTTTTTCCAATGTAGGAGAAATCCTCTTTTGCTATCTCTTGGAATCACTTTTAGCAAAAGACAATATTATTTTCCCTTCATGATGTCAGTCTGCCCCTTAACAGCTTAATCATGTTTCAGTGATGTATATTCTCTTATTTCTCAAGTGTTGAGAGCCAAATGAATGACCAATGATCTTCCTGTTCATCAAGATAATGACTAATGTCCCCTGAAACTCGAAAACACCTACCTCTCAATTTGTAACATTTTACAAATATTTCTTAGAAAGATGGGCCCTAAATGATCAGAATTCCTACAAATGCATTTCAATTGCTTTTTTGGCAAGAGGAGCGTTATTCTCTCTCAAGAGATTTATCTCAACTACTTGCCATTATGTTTCTCCTGGAAATTCTTCACTCCAGCTGCACACACCTGCATCTCTACATTAATGATCTTGCGCTTTCTTTAGCCATATCGTCTAAGGACTTCTCTTAAGAAAGGAAAAGTTGATATTCTCTCTCTTAAAAGACTGCAGAAAGGGCCATCCACAGGATGAATGTCCTGTGGCAGTTTCTTAGTAAGACTTTGTATCTACCTAATGGCTAATAATTAGGGGCCATACATTTCTATATGCAAATAATTTATGGTTTGTTAGGCATTAAGCTTTATTTATTTATCCAACAGACATCTAGTGATTACTTACCACGTGTTAGGCATTGTGCTAGGTACCGGAGATACAATGGTGAAGAAGGTGTGTACAATCCCAGCACTTCCAGCTGGCAAAGTCTGGAAGAAGATATAGAGAAGTGAGCAAACAGGTGCAAAATAGTGTGGTAACTACCATGGTATGGAAACTACAGGCTGCCAGGACAGCTAGTAATAATATTTGTGATGATGATAATAGCCAACTTAGGTTTAGCACTACTATTTCCAGGCCCTGTTATCATTTAATCTTCTCAACAACTCTTTGACATTGGTACTTATTATGATCTCCTTTTATAGATGAGGAAACTGAGGCACAGAAAAATTAGGTAACTTGTCTAAAGCCTCACAACTAATTAGTGGCAGAGCCAATATTTAGGGGTACCTAACTCAGATTCAGTGACATGGAGAAGGCTTCTAAGAGGAAATGATGTGTAAGCTTGGAGTTAACAACAGGTATGAAGGGTCAGAGGTGACATATCCCAGACAAAGGAAATAATATACACAAACACTGGCATTAAGAAAGAGCAAATAATGTCCAAAGAATTGAACAAATTTCAATTTTGGCAAGTGGAAGAGGTGGCAAATTAGGCTGGAGTAAGAAGGGACAGACTGTGAAGGGTGTGGGAGCCCATACTAAAGGGCTTAGATTTTTTTCTTAAGAAGAGTAGGAAGCCACTTGAAGTAGGACGGTGACATGATCAAAACTGTTTTCAAAACTCCTCTGGTAGTAGACTGGAGAATGGATTAGAGGGAGGCAAGGCCATCCATGGGGTGTCCCTTCGATGGCTGTTGCAGTAATTCAGACTAGAGAGGATGACAGCCTGCCTAGGGTTAATGGCAGTGGACATGGAGAGACGGGAAGATCTGAGAGATCTTTGAGAAAGAGTCCATGGGAATGCGTGACATGAGGGATAGAGAAGGGAAAATGATGCTCTTGCTTGGTGACTGTGGGGCAAACGATGCCAGGTTCTAAGACAGGGAAGAGTAAGCAGAACAGATTTAGGGTGAGAAGGGTGATGAGTTCAATTTGGGACATGTTGACTTTTAGGACCTTGTGCCTGGAAGACAGTTGGATAGGTAGGTATGAAGCTTAAGAGACAGATCTGAACTATAATTAGACTTTCAGAAGCCTCCATCATTTAGATAATAATTGAAGGCAGGGGATTCAACGAGGCTGGCTGGGAGAGTGTGTAAAGTGAAAAAAGAAGATGGCCGCTTAGCGCTGAAGAACTACCTCCTGTCACAAATTGACAGGGGAGGAGGCTTCTTCAGTGGACCCTGAGAAGGGGTAGATGGAAAGGAAGGAGAAAATCCAGAAGAACGTGTTGACATAGAAGGTTAAGGAGAAGAAGTCTTCATATGTAAAGGAGAAGGGTCAGTCTTGTAAAATTCTACCAGAGCTCAAGTAAAAATTAATGACAAGGAGGCTCCTCTAGATTGGATAGTCTAATATCAACCCTGAATGATTTCTTAATATGGAACTAGCCATGCCGGTTTCCATTTCCAGAAGAAAAAGACCTCATTGGATCAAAAAAAAAAAAAAAAAAAGGTAGAATATAATGTCAAATGACCTTCCAGGAGGCAAAGGTGGCAGCTCATCCCTTTGAAGGATTGTACTTGTCACTTTTATTCAATTCAACCGACTTTATTGAAAGTCTGCTATGGGCACAGCATGGCAGAAGGCTGAATAGGACATAGTCTGTTCTTGACACTTAGTTAATGGAAAACATCGGTTACACCTGTTCCTCTTCTCCTTGTCCCATAGGTCCAGTTGAATCCAGGACTTGGTGTTAGGAATGGTGAACTTGCCTTTCTGAATGGCACCTCGGGAGCTGACACGCTTCCCCAGGGCTCCAGGCTGACCCCTGTCTCTGCGATTAGGACCCTAGAGCCGAGAAGCCGAAGGAGCAGGGGCAGGAGGTTCAAGGTAGGGTCGGTGGAGTGGCCTGAGCCTGGTGGGCAGACAGCGTCAGACAGCGCTAGTGGCACTTCGTGGAAAAGCCCTGGCCGCTCAGCTCAGCCCAGCAGCCCAGCTACGGACTCCCAGCTGCCTCTGCCTTCTCTCCACCTCGAACCCGGGGCCAGAATAGAGGTCCTCAGACGGGAAAACAGCTTTGAGAAGCAAGAGGCAGAGACGAATGTTGACACAGGATTCACCGTGGTCAGCTCTGGACCCAGGCAATCTTTTCTGAGCAGATTTCCAAGGGATCTTTGGACCCACCAGCCACCATCCTGCTTGTCAACCCCTTCCTTAGGGGCAGCTGCTTCCAAAAACAACAGAATCTTTAAGGAAAGCGTTCATCCTCTGTCACTTGCTGACCAAAGGGACCTTTGTTCCAGGACGATAATCTCAAAATGTCCCCTTCCTCTGCCAGTCCAGGGTGAAGAAAAAGAAGCAGAAGAAGAATTCTTTATATAGCATAAAACAACTGTGGTTTTCTAAAACACAAAATCAAATAGAATGTTCTAGAAATGGAGCACTGACCCAGAATCAGCCTGTTTCTTGTTCATCTGAGGGGCTCTAAATGCTAGCCATGCACAGATCTGTATCACTTTTATTTCAAATGTTCAAAGTCTAGCAGTGCTGGTGAGTGGTTGTTTATTTGCCGTCATGGTCATAAGGGAACATAGCCAACACACAGGGAAAAAGCCCAATGCCTCACGTCCTTGGAGACACACTAACACAGCTGGGTGTGTTGAGTTCAGTACCTATCAGGGTAATTGCATTATATGCAAATAAGTTGGATGTGTTATGCAATGCTGATTAGAGTCTGTAATTTGGTTTTAATTTTTACTTGCATTGCATTGTTCATCCCCCTGGGCAGCATGGGCTATTTATTCTTTAGTGTTTTTTAGTTTTTATGTGACCTCATTTGGTAACTAGGCCCTGTTCACCACTCACCTCTAGTGACTTTTGCCTTTAAAGTTGTTTGCATCTGGAATGAGTTAACATGCAAAGTGTTTTGAACATTACAAACATTTCTCTTTTTCTCCTGTTTAATGAGCAGCAACACTGGAAACCAAAAAAATCAAGTTAAAAATGAAAGCTGGGCTCTAGGGTTTCCGGCTCCTCCATTTCTTGTTTGTTTCCGCACCACCCCGGTGGGGCCCGTGGTTCATATAATTAAGCAGAGAGGAGTGGAACGTGATTGGATGATTCGAGATCTCCACTGAGTGTGGCAGGAAGATTGCATTGGTTGGGTCACTGGAGCCGGACTTGTGTTTTTTTGGCCATGTTCAAATTCCTGTATTCCTTTGCAGTACTCATTCATTTATTCATTCATTTATACATCCATTCGTGCAACACAGTGTACAAATACCTACCTTTGAATAAGACATTGGTATATGGTACACATACATTCTGTGGCCGTCAAACCCAAAACTTATTTATGGTTTCACTGTATCACAAATCCATTCTATCAATTCTTAAGAACAGGTGGAAGTTCAAACTTATTTCTCTGGGAAACTTTTCCACAGCTGATTACCACACTTGCTGCACAGGCTGTGGTAAGAATTCACAACCTGTGGACGGAGATGGGGCATATTATGAATCGCAATTATAATCATAATGGATGAATTCTTAGTTGCTCATATGATGTATTATTTGGTTGGGTCTATACACACATTTCTTAAAAATCTGAGGTCTGTGTGTTTCAGTTAATTTACAAGGTTATTTGACTCCAAGAACTCCATTTTCCAGAACAGATGTTATGTGACTATAAGTGCTGATTTAGCTGGATCTTTTGGAGACCCCTATACTGAATAGACCTAATTGGAGAGAAGGACCTAATTGGAGAGAATAGACCTAATTCAGGCTTAAGCATGAATCTCATGGCAGCGAGACTGGACTGAGTTTGTGTGCTCTGTCCCCCTAAAAGAGTAGAAATGGAAGAGAGCTGCAAATGGACGAAGACAAGACTTCTAAACGGATTTCTGTCCTTATACTATCAGTATATTCTTAACCCCATGTTCTTTCTTTCCCTCAGATTAAAGTTAGATCTTAGAATGTGGAATGAAGAACTTACTTTTGGTATGGTTTTCTATAATAAGAGTTAAAAAAAAATGAAAGTCTTATTTAAGTTGAATTATTGAGCTGCTTTGAAAAGCACAGCAGGCAGTTTTGAAGTTTCTTTCCGACTTTTTTGAGGTTATCTAATTCCTTTAACATAATACATAGGTAGGAATATAAGTACATGGAAAGCATAAAAAATATTGAGGAATTTGAATGAGTAACTTACAAAATTGACTTGTAAAATAAGACTGTACTCTTTTCTTTTTTTTCTTTTTGCGGTATGCGGGCCTCTCACTGTTGCAGCCTCTCCCGCCGTGGAGCACAGGTTCTGGACGTGCAGGCTCAGCGGCCATGGCTCATGGGCCCAGCCACTCTGTGGCATGTAGGATCTTCCCGGACCGGGGTACGAACCCGCGTCCCCCACATCAGCAGGCGGACTCTCAACCACTGCACCACCAGGGAAGCCCTAGACTGTATTCTTAAAATGTACTCTATTGTATCCTCCTACTCACTATAGGAATCCAATTTACAGCATGATGGGATGGAAATGCCAGTGGGCTATGTGACAGAGGCCCAGATTTTGGTCTCAGTTTAAAATTTACTATTTATATGTGACCTTAAACTCTTTGATCTTCTGTTGCCTTATCTTCTGTACTAAGGTTGTTAGGAAAATCAAGATTATGCGTATGAAAGCATTTGGATACTGTTAAACACTGTAAATATGTAAGGTATTATAATCACAAATGGTCCTCCAGACCCACATTTTTAAAATGTCTTAACAACAAAGGATTTTTTTGAAACAACTTTTAGTGAAAGCAACGCTACAATTAAAAAAAAGAAATCCAACTCTCTAAGATTTTTACTATGTGTGTCATTTATGTTTACACATCTAGGAGGAAAATGATGGATAGAAAGGATCAAATATATCCTAAAGTTCAAAAGAGATTTTATATATAACAGGGACAAACTTATGAACTAGTTTAATCCAAATTATCAAATTATCCAGACTCTTTACTTATTTATACTGTATTTTTAAAAATATATTTATTCTATTTTATTTATTTATTGTTTCTGTCTGTGTAGGGTCTTCATTGCTGTGTGTGGGCATTTATCTGGTTGTGGTGAGCGGGGGATACTCTTCATTGTGGTTCGTGGGCTTCTCATTGTGGTGGCTTCTCTTGTTGTGGAGCACGGGTTATAGGCATGAGGCTTCAGTAGTTGTGGCGCGTGGGCTCAGTAGTTGTGGCACGTGGGCTCAGTAGTTGTGGCGCCTGGGCTTAGCCGCTCCGTGGCATGCGGGATCTTCCCGGACCAGGGATTGAACCCGTGTCTTTGGCACTGACAGGCGGATTCTCAACCATGCTACCACCAGGGAAGCCCTACACTGTATATTTTGAAATGTAACATGTATCACAAGTGACTGCTGGTGGTCAGATAATTTAATATTTTTATAGGTATATTAAAACCAAGTTGCATTACAGTTGTTTGGCTATTTTTAACCTTAATAGTAGTTCACATTTTTTGCAAGCATTACTTGGATATTGCTAAGCATGAATAGAAATGGTAACATTTAGAAACTTGCAAATGTGTTTGTCTCTTAGCGGAGGTAGAGCAGGGGATTTGCAGGCTGACAGGGAAGGAGAGGGACACACCTCGATTTACAAAGGGAAGTGGCACAGGTGCCTCAGCTATACCCCATCTGCCCTCAGCTCTGATGGCGTTACCGAGTCCAAGCTTGTACTGCTCACTTCATGAAAGGCCAAGAAATTGAGAGATGAGTTGTTGGGGCAAAGAATAGCAACTTAATTCAGAAAGCCAGCACACTGAGATGATGGTGGACAGGTGTCCCAGAGAACCATCTTGCTGGTTTTTATTGTTTTTTTTTTTTTTTTTTTTTTTTGCGGTACGTGGGCCTCTCACTGTTGTGGCCTCTCCCATTGCGGAGCACAGGCTCCGGATGCGCAGGCTCAGCGGCCATGGCTCACGGGCCCAGCCGCTCCGCGGCATGTGGGATCCTCCTGGACCTGGGCACGAACCTGTGTCCCCTGCATCGGCAGGCGGACTCTCAACCACTGCGCCACCAGGGAAGCCCCTTGCTGGGGTTTTGGATGCTAGTTTCTTTTATAGAACAAAGCAGGGCGGGGTGAGAAGGTAAAGTAAAAAAGGTGATAAGTTGTTGCAAATATTTCCTGGCTCCGGCCAGACTTGGGAGGGGAGGTGTTAATTTCTTCCTTCCTGCAGCCATTCATAGGTGAGCCTGGTCAGCATGTTTCCTGTGAACTGAACAGAGGTATTTTAGTTTAATATTCAGGCATGAGAGACAGGGTTCCCAGAGATGGGCCATTATGTATACTTAAGCTATAGGTAATATCCCTTTATAGTGATTAAGTTGTAGCAAAAGCAATAGAATACAAAGGTTAAGGTAAAAGAAACAGATCTAACATGGAGTGAGATTTGTTCTTCCCTATTACAATGGGATTTTGTGGTGGTGACGCTGGTCTTTCCACTGCTCTACCAACAATGCAGTTACGCATGGGAGGTGCTGATAGCACAGAGAGGGATGGAGGCAAGAGTGGGAGGAGGTGAGAACCCCTTCCTTCCCTCCCAGAGAAAGATGGAGAAAGGGGAAGATGAGAGGAGAGAGCAGAATGGGGCCATGAGCACACACCCATTTTCTGTTGATTGGAAACTCCTAAGTTTCATCTCCTCGCTATAAAACTTAGAAATTCCTGGGATAACTTAACCCTGGCTGCCTTTCTTGAGTCTTCTCCAAGCCAGAGTGTGTGGGCTTTTCCTCCCTTTTTTTCTCTTCCTCTTTTCGCCATTCCCCTCCGTTTTCATTCCTTTTTCTTTTCTTTTCTTTCCTTCTTTTCTCTTCCTTCTCTCTCTTCCTGTGTGTGTGTGTGTGTGTCTGTGTGTGTGTGTGTGTGAATTTGATACTCTCTTCGTTCTTCACTTTGTTTAAAATACTTTGTCTTTGCAGCATCTCCCAAGATTCCACAAGGGGTTGACCTGTAGCTGCAACTTCTGACGGGCCCCCTTGGCTAAGCTCTGAGAGGATCAGAAAGAAGATTTGCTCCTTCTCTGAGGAAATTCTCACTACATTCCAATTCATTGTTGGGGTTCTGCTCTGGGACTGCTCAACCCACATCACTTAGAAACGAGCTGGTCTCTCTTCCCCACAGCTCTCTCCTTCCTTTCACACCTGTCCAACCTTTCTCTGAGGTTTGAGATGTTTCCTGAGCATTTCTTACAATTAGCAATTTAAAATATTGTCTGTAATTTGTGATAGGAAAACAAAAGGAGCTTATGGCCCCAGAGAGTACATAATTAGGATTTATGTTATTAAGAACTCAAGCCTGCTAAACTTCATTTCAAACACATCATTGAAAAAGTCTAGTTATTCCAGAGAATCCATCTGAGCTACCGAAGACATAACTAGGTCTCTGCTTAGCATGCGCAATGTATTCTATTTGCATATTCCATTTTTGCCAGAGATGATTCTGAGGTGTTTCTTTTAAGAACAGTAATTGTAAAGAAGGACAATAATACTAAATCTGAGTTGATGATGGCTGACCTGAGAACCCCCTTCCTAGGTGGGCATTTCTTACTTACGTATTTCCATCTTTACACCAATCCTGTGAGGTCGGTGCTACAATGACCCCCATTTTACAGATGAGAAAACTGAGGCACAGAGAGGTCGAGAGCCTAATCAGGAATGGCACAATAACTAAGCGGCTCAGTTAGGATTAGAATCTGGGCTGTCAGGCTGGCATCTACACCCTTAATCATGCTACTGTCCTGCTCCCCGAAGGGCGTGCAAGAAGGGAGACCTCCACTTCCACACGGTGCCACCCTACCTCCACACCTTGTGCCCCAACAACTGGCATGCCACCCAGGTTTCCTTGTTGCTCCTCCAGCATGCCCCAGACCTGCCCTGGTGGGCCCCTTTTTGTCCTTTAGTTCTCAAATTAAGTCCACTGTCAGGAGGGACTTGACTAGATGGTGTCCTGTTAAAGCAGCCCAGGCACCAGTCCCTGTTGCAGTCCTAGGACCAGAGTAGGTGCTTTTACACGTATATTGTTCAATGAATGCACAGCAAGGGTTGGGAACACCTATGAGGCTTCCATTCTCTAGAAGCCAGAGACAAGAGATTGTCTTAGTCTTCTGGGGCTGCCATAGACTGTGTGGCTTAAACAACAGACATTTACTTCTCACAGCTCTGGAAGCTGGGAAGCCCAAGATCAAGGTGCCAACATGGCCCATTTCTGGTGAGAGCTCTCTTTCCGTCTTGCACCAGCACTTTTTTTCTGTGTCCTCTTGTGGCGCCCAGAGATAAAGGGAGAGAACTCTCTCATGTCTCTGATTTTTTAAAAATTGAGGTATAATTGACATATAACACTATATTAGTTTCAGGTATACAACATAATGATTCCATATTTGTACATATTGCAGAATGATCACCACAATAAGTCTAGTTAAATTCTGTACCACACAGTTTTTTTCTTGTGATGAGGACTTTTAAGATTCACTCTCAACACCTTTCATATATGCAATATAGTATTATTAACTATAGACATCCTGCTGTACAAAACATCGCCTCAACTTATTTCTCATGTCTCTTATAAGGGCACTAATCCCATTCATGAGGCCTTCACCCTCATGACCTAATTACCTGCCAAAGTCCCCACCTCCACAGTGGGGATTAGAGCTTCTGCATTTGAATTTGGGAGGACACATCCATTCCATAATAGAGATAAACCATTTCCTTCCTGCCTAGGTCCTAGGGCCATGTTGACTCCGGGCAGCCCCTCTTCACCAGCATTTCCTCCATTTATCAGGTGTGTACTTTCCCTCCTTTATCTGTTGACTGCAGACCTATGACAATTGACAGAACCTCCCTCCTTATCTCCCCTGGTCCTCTTTAGTGTATAAGCATCCTTGTACATTTCCTTCATTGTTGGTGCTGCTGTGCTCTATCAAAGGTTTGGCTTCCTCCATCCATTCCACAAATGTGTCCTGTGTGCTAGACCCCAGGGAAGTGGACCCTCAGATACCCCACACCTTCTGCCTTCAACTCTGGGAGCTTGTCCAGACTCCCTGCACCTCGGCCAGTGAGCCTCACTTCCAAAGGAGCAGGTTTTATCTTCAAGGAAGTAGCCACACTGGACAGTAACAGCAAAAATGACACTGCTGTTCTCACCACGAGGGCTGTTTGAATTCCCATGGGCAGACAGTCAGAGCAAAAATGACACTGTTGCTCTCACCACGAGGGGTGTTTGAATTCCCGTGGGTGTGGACTGTGGTTGAGGCAACCTAACATCTATTATAAGT